CTTTTTGCATTTCTTTTCTCTGGCTATACAGCCATGTGAAGAAGAAAGTACACCCATTTTGAATTCTATGATTTTATGTATCAGGATATAATAAAAATAATCTGTTCCTTAGCAGGTCTGAAAATTAGGTAAATACAACCTCAAATGAACAACACATATTACACCACGTCATGATTTATTTTACAAAAATAAAGCCAAAATTGAGAAGCCAGTACATCATTACTGTTTTGAGAGGAATTAAAAGGCTAAGTAGCAGCCAGGTGCTGCTAACTAAATGCCCTTGAGTCAACAAGTGTGACCACCACCAGAAAAGTCAAAGTTTTGGCAGGTTACTAGTCTGATACATTCAGGTGTGTATTAACACAATGCCAGGAAAGGCATCAGCAATGATTGTAGAGCAGCAACTGTTGCTGCCCATCAATCTCGGAAGGGTTATGCCATTTCTAAACAATGTTAAGTGCACCATTCTACAGTGAGGAAGATTATTCACAAGTGGAAAACATTCAAGAGAGTTGCCAATCTTCCGAGGATGAGAAGTGGATTGCAAGCAAATTCACACCAAGGTCAGACCATGCAATGCAAAAACAAAACAAAACAAAAAACCCCAAAAGTTACGTACATCTTAGACTCTACAGGCCTCAGGATGTCAAATGATAAAGTTAATGACAGTACAATTAGAAAAAGACTGAACAAGTATGGTTGGTTTGGAAAGGTTGCATCTGGACAAACCACAAGACTTCTGGAACAATGTCCTTTGGACGGACAAGACCAAAATGATGTTTGATGCATAGTGTCACATTTGGCAAAAGCCAAACATAGATCAACACAAACATATCACATCAACTGTCAAACGCAGCGGGGAAGGGATGATGATTTGGGCTTGTTTTGTAGCCATAGGACCTCAGCACCTTGCAGTCATTGAGCCGACTATGAATTCTTCTGTATACCAAAGTATTCTAAGTCCAATGTGAGGCCATCTGTCCAACAGCTAAAGCTTGGCCAAAATTGAGTCATGCAACAGGACAAGGTTCCCAAGTGCACCAGCAAATCTACAAGAGAATGGCTGAAAAGGAAAAGAATCAAGGTGTTGCAATGGCCCAGTCAAAGTCCAGACCTCAACCGGATTGAAATGCTTAAGAGAGCTGTGCATAAACAAATGCCTGCAAACCTCAATAAACTGAGGCAATGTTGCAAAGAAGAGTGGGCCAAAACTGTTCTACAACAATGTGCAAAACTGATAAAGTCATGCAGAAAACGATTCAAGTTATTGCTGCTAAAGGTAGTTCTACAAGCTACTGTATCATAAAGTGTATTTAGTTTTTCATAAGTGGCTTCTTTATTTTGGCTTTATTTTTGTAAAATAAATCATGACACAATGTAACGTCATGTGTTCTTCGTCTGAGGTTATATTTACCTAATTTTCAGACCTGCTAAGGATGATACAATCTTTTTTATGTCCTGCTATGTAAAACCATAGAATTCAAAAGGGGTGTACTTTCTTTTTTACAACTGTATCTTTCAGAACAGAAAAGCAAGAAAATTGCTTACTTTTCCTTCCTTACCCTTACTAGAGATCGGTATCAATTGCTTCATTCCAGGTTGTCATGGCACCCCAGGCGCCACATGTTGCCTTCCTTCACTCCCACCCAGGTCGTCTTCCCCCCCTTACCAGCCAGTGTGTGCTGTTCTTCTCTTCCTCGGGCATTTGTCCTGTCTCAGCAGGAGCATCTGCTTCCCTCCTCTGATGGCCACTCACTCAAAGGCAAGAATCCCTGCCCCACCTCGTCTGAAGTAGATGTTTCTGCTGGGTCAGGACAAATGCCCAAGGAGAAGGAGAAGAGCAGTGTGTGTACGCTGGTGAGTGGGGCCAGCTGGGGCGATGGGGGAAGGGAATGTGTGGCACCTGTGGTGCTCTGATGGGCATGAAGCGATTCATGCCCATCTTGAATCCTTACCAGAATACCTGCTATGAAACAGCATGAACTTCTTCTATGAATAAACTGGAAACTTCCTTGAATGTAGCTCCATGCGATGTCATTTGACTCCAGCTTTCTCTGAAAATGGTAAGGCTAAATCCAGGACTGCTGGCAGAGCATAATTCAGGTAGTTGGAGTGTAGAAGTAGTAGTTAGGTTTGGGAAGCAGAAAAAGGGTAAGTTATGTCTGTGCAATAAATGAGTGCCCCACGCAGATAGGTAAGCAGAAAAATATTCCTTCAGTTTTTGTGCAGCCAGAAGGGTTTTGAATTCTCCTACTTTGTTTTTACACTCATCAAGACATCCACTGATATCCTGAAAGAAAACAATGAAGAACATGAAGTTTTATACTATTAATACTTCCGAAGATCTATTACAAAGTAAAAGAGATGAACCATATACAATATTTTTAGAAATAGTTTATTTATAAAAATTATTGCTGAAGTTTACAACTATAGGAGTGATAATGTTGGTTTCATCCAGGGCAATATGATATACATAGCATATGTTCATTGTTACTATGCCTAGAAGAGAGATCTGTATTTCATAGCAGAATTATCTACATCTGACATGTAACCTATCAGATAGGTTTCACCTTAAGAAAAAGTGCATTTTATTCAGGCATGTTTTTTTCCCAGTTCTGTTCTATTTTTTTGAAACATCCCAATGGGTTGAATGTTAAACAACAATAAAAATACCAATTAACAATCAAGATTAAGATTGGTAAATAATTAAAGTTTTAAAAGAAATTTTAGCAGTCACTAGTTGCTCACACTCAAAATTAGCACAAAATGCTTATTCAAATAAAGGCAATTATTTCAGGTCTGGTGATTTTTTTTCAGGCCTGGATTAGCACCTTTAATTCATTATGAATCAAGACAGTTAAGTGGATAAATTGTGTATTAGGTGATAGTTTACATTCACATAATCCTTTTTTTGTTTTTATGTCCAGGGTCAAGGAAATCCTAATAACCACCACCATTTCGTTAGCAGATACATTAAGTCTCTGGTCTTTTCTGCAAGGAAAACAGTGATAAAACGTATTACTGTGTTGCAGTGAAATAATGTGTATATCTAAAAGTTAGTTTAGTGATGACACAGATATCTCTAGTGTCCCACTTCCTGAAAGAATGTATGTGAATCTAATTTTCCATAAATGCATACAAAAAGATCACAACTGGAAGTTAATATGCATGTGAAAATCACATGATCTGTCATAGGGCTGAATACCATTTGAGAAGACAGCAGGGACTAGCATTTCACAGTAAATAAAGAAAAATCACATCAGACCGGTGTGAGGCGATATAACAATTCTGTGAGCATGAGAGAAGCTTTTAAGAATTGGAAAGGAGAAGACAAGCAAAAAAATTAAATACCACACTGTTCTCCATTTTTGAAGGTAATTAGTATGCTGAATGGCAGAATAAGGAACTCAGAGTACTACATTTTCTCTGTGAGTAATCATATTTTGACACATACCTCATCTCACCCACCCGCAGGCAAAGCTCCTGCAAAAAGGGGGATCTCCACATACCTCATCTCACCCGCCCGCAGGCAAAGCTCCTGCAAAAAGGGGGTAGGTAGTCCATGTAAGTATTTGTGGTCCACATCAAAGTAACAGTCTGTTCTATCTTTGCTTTCCATTACAAAGTTAAGGGTTAGGTTTTTCACAGATGTCTGTGTACTTAGGAAAGAAGCTTTGCTTTTATTTTATTTTATGCTTTAGGGCTCGACTCCTGTTCCTGCTGAACTGAGCCAGTATGTAAAATCAGAACTGATATCAGCTCAGTAGGCACCGGAGGACGGGTCCATCCACAGCCTGGAACAGCAACCGGTGCAAGAGGCAGCGCCAGCAAGAAAAAGTCATTATGAACAACACGCACAGCTAAACTACAACTCTGGACACATAAGGGTTGCTTCCTTCATTTAAATGTAATACACACTATATACGCAAAATGCAAGACAACTCTGGACACATAAGGGTTGCCTTCATTTAAGTGTAATACACACTATATACGCAAAATGCAACACATTTAACATCACAGTAGAATCTACGTGCCAAGAAAAAACATTAATCCTTTCCCAGTACTTGATTACTCCCTCCAGTGTAGCCAAACAAGGATGCTTTCCCATGTGGAATTATTTGCATTTTTGAAAGGAAGAAAAGATACAGTATCTGGATTTCTCGTGGTACTTCTTTATCTGTTGCAATCTGCAAACTAGATTCCATGCAAATCTTTGCTCTAACACTATCTGAGCAGCAGCAACTGAACTTTGACCTTTTAGGAAAGTTTTCCATCTCAACTTCTCTTAAGGTGCAGAACTTAGCCACTGTGAACAAAGAGGAAATCAATCACTGTTCACCAATCAGCTAAGCTCTGTACCTTGTTAGAGCTGTCTTCCTTTGAACATAGTCAAAATAGCAGCGGCAGTCCTTCAGTGACTTGTTCATACTTTTTAGGGGTAGATTCCTCGAGTCCCAACAGTGAGACTATCATTATGGATTCAATCACAGAAGCCAATGTCATGGTTATGTGGTAATCCCTGGCAATGTGATTTTAATCTTAAGTCACAAATCAGCATGCCAGGAACCCAAACAACCAAAACAGGAACTCTCTAAGCTCTTTGAAATGTAAAAACCATCCATTTCGAACATCTGGGAATCTATAAATCCTGCTTTTTCAATATAGCTTTATTTTTATGCTATATTATAGCCTGGATCACAATTTTGACAAACCGGAACAAATTTCAGGTATCAGTGCTGGGAAACAGTGCACATCATATGTAAAGTTACCATATACTTTACCAACCAAATTAACTTCTTTAACACGTTACATTAATAAACTTCATTGAATTACTTTTTAAAATGTGGGAGACTCTTAAGAACTGCTCACAGAAGCAGCATCAAAATCATTTTTTAATTATATTTTTGAACTTCCTTTCTGAAGAAACAATCTGAACATACAGATGAAGAAGACTGCAAAATACCTTGCTAATTCTTTTCATTTTGTACTGAATAACATACCAAACTAAAGGTGCATTATCAAATTATCTAGCCTCTGAACAAAAGAAATCAGAATAGAAAATTTCATTACCATTTCACATAAATAAAAATTATGTGAACAAAACTAACACACCTTCCCCCAGTTGTGTACAGTAGGAATTCTGCAACACTGTGTTTCAATCACTCCCCATGTATGGTCATTGGGTCATAAACAAACAGCTGGGGGGAAAGCTCCATCAAATCTATTTGTTTTGATTAGGCTACTTTTTGGTCCCAGTTACTGCAATGCTTACATATACGGACAAGAAATCGATTCTTACAATAAATGCTTGTTCTGATTTTGTATCACTGAATACAACTGCGCCACTGATCTGTACCACGGAGGGAAGTGGCTCATATGCCTGCTATCCCACCAAAACATGTTTTCTATATTAGACCAACATAGATACTGGAGCATCTCCTCCTAACTATTAAATTCCTAGTGAAATGAATTTCAGTACCGCTTGATTTCTCCCAAATATAATCTATCTCAATTAGGTTCTGTCAACAACCCTAAGGATTGAAGTATTTACTGAACAAAAATGCAAAGCATGCTGTCCTGGCAAGGACCCTCAGACTAATTTTAAGTACTCTCTGTAAATATCATAAAATGACAGCCAAGAAAAGGCAAAGAGGTGAGAAATATTTCGCAGTAAAATTAAGTGCTTATAGTAGTGTTAAATACGTAATTTGAACACTGAATAGTAACAATTTTAAGTTAGGTTTGCTTAAGACTGGTTTCTCTAACATACTGACAATCTATCAGTACAGTAGGACCACTATATCTGCTGGGGATTGGTTCCAAGCCCCCCTGCGAATACTGAAAACCATGGATAACAGCAAATGTTCACTAAAGAAGTATGAATAGCAGTTTCTCGCTCCCTCTAGTGGCTGGGTCTGGTAAAACATGTGAAAATAGCTATTTCTGGATTTTTTTTTCTTTTAATATTTTTAATATTTTCAGACTGTGGACAAGTGAATCAGTGAATAGTGATCCCATGGATAAGGGGATCCAACTGTATGTCCATCCTGGAATGGGTGAAATCTACTCTAAATAGCAGTACTTACTCTATGTAGATAGCACGCTGAACTCATAAAAATTGAGCATGAAATGGTTTCAGAACAGTCATATTCCATAGATCTGACTTCAGCTGTTTCAAAATTAATATGCAATAAATGGCTGATCAGCACCTGGAACTGCAAAGACTGACAGCAACACAGCCTTGACTGTTCCCTTCTCATGAGATTTCCCAAGGTTTAAAGGACAGTTTGGTTCATATCTGAACAATGAAGTACCTACATGTAATAATGTAGATATATTTCTATGCTTAAAACTATATACATACACATATCATGCATTTAAAGACCAGAGCATACTTTTAAAATAATTGGAAAGCTTATGAAAGATCTTGGTAGCTAAAAGGGATGAACAAAGCCAGTTCTTGCATGATCAAGCTCAGCATACTTTTAAAATGATTGGAAAGCTTATGAAAGATCTTGGCAGCTATATGGGAACAAAGCCAGTTCTTGCATGATCAAGCTTTCTTTAAACTGAAATATTTTGTTGAACCACATGTGTGTGCCTCCAGTGATGGAAGCAGAGCTTTTTAACATCCTTTTAAAAGGTTCTTTGGTGGCTGCAAAAATGCTCTTGCAAGGCACATGATGCAAATTTTAGTCCTGACAAATAAACTGATTCATTCACTCCTAAGCCCTATTTGCTCCAAGAAGCATGCTAAAATCTGAGCTATCTAAATGGGGAGGGGGGAATCACCTCATCAGAATAACATGTCTGCCACTACTTTAGCTGAGGATGGATCCATTTGGTCACAGGTGCTGGCAAAACATTTATAAGCAATTTCTTGCTGTTTTGCATCCTCGGTCACCATTAATTCTCCATATAGGTAGACGCCCATTGCCTGCAAACGGAAGAAAACAATCCTATAATTTAATTAATTCCATTGTGATGGTTTTCAGGATAACAATGACTGTACCTGATTTTATGTAACTTGCAATTCGACATTCTTTGTGAAATGTTCAATAAATGCCACAATACAACAATTTATTCAACTCTCAGAGACCAGTGTGGGACTTTTTAGTCTCCTACAGCCAGCTTTTGTTTAAGAACCTAGACAGAACTACACCTACACAGTAGGCATTCTGCAACACTGTCTCTTGAAAAACTAAGCAATGTCCTTACATTTCAGTCACTCCCCCATGTATGCTCTTCTGGTTACAAACAACAAACAGCCAGGAAGGAAAGGCCCATCAAATCTATTTACTTTGTCTAGGGTACTTTCTGGTCAAACCTTGTGCAATATAAAGGGGCAGAGGGGGGAGAGAAATATCCAATTCTGGTTGGCTTTGTCTGAGTGCATATGTGCACTTTGCACATGCATACTATGGTTTAAAGCAGTGGTTCTCAAACTTGGGTCGCCAGATGTTCTTGGACAGCAATTCCCAGAAATCCTGCCCAGCACAGCAAATGGTGAAGGCTTCTGGGAATTGCAGCCCAAGAACATCTGGGGACCCCAGTTTGAGAACCACTACTTTAAAGAAGTTAATGTGATGTGTTCTGTTTGGTCCCATTCAAGTGTGGGTGTGGAAACTCAAGAAGCATTATTGCAACCAAGAAGTACAAAAAGTGCCCATGAAGCTCTACCACCAGCCTTGATACTATTCATCAACGTAGGGTTCATTTACATTAAAGCAATAGTTTGGAATATGCATCAGTGTAAACGAAAGTGTGTTAAATTGACTTTGAGTCAAGTGGCAGTCACATGGCATTTTAACTGCAGTTTGCATTCCTCTGAAACGAACATTTAATTGAGTATTTTTGAAGGAATACTGCCAAACGTGTGTGCTCCCTCTCCAACCTAAGGCTTGACTTCAGAGATGAGGGTGGGCAAGCATGTATATACCTATACCTTGGGTGTACACACCCAGAGAAGGGAAGTGCAACAGGAAACAGCTGAGCAAGCTGTCGTTAGAAAAGGCTTTGCGCACACAGTGCTGCCATGCAGGAGAACTTGGTGGCGATGGGCAGCTGACACACAGCACAAATGCAAAAACAACATAGAGGGAGAGAGAGGTGGTGTCATTATTTTGCCTGCCTGCTTGCTTTTCAGACCCTGGTTCCGGGGTTTGCGTGCCAGCCTGGAGAAGAGGCACCGCCTTCAGTTGATCTTGCCTTATCTGTCCCGTTCCCCCCCCCTGCCCAGGACTGCAAGAAGATTTGGGTGAGTGAGTGGCAGGGGGCTCCTGCAGGCTGCTTGGCAGCCAGGCTTCTCCCTCACCCCCCAGCTTTTAACATAACACCTGGGGCAAGTGGCTGAGAGAGTCCGCCAGCGAGAGGACAACTTAAAAGTTAACACAGAGGTTTCCACATACGGCGAATCAATTTAAATGAACCAATTTCACATCCACCTTAGAACAGATGGACAGCTGGTGGAGGAGTAAAAAACCGCTGCTCCAAAAAACACGATTCTCCAAATTAATCTGTTCTTACATGTGCGTTGAATATTCACACATTTTTACAGCGATTCAAAACAGGCTAATCTCAATTTAAATACGTAGGGGTTTGTTTGTTTTGTTTAGCAATATAAACGGTTTCCAAAAGCCGCAATCTCAATGCTAGCCCTTAATCCACTCACAACTCACTCAATGTAAGGTGTTTTATGTTGGTTTATTGTTTTCCAGTTGTGATGCACAAGGAAGCATCCAGGTGTTTTGAGTTTTGTCTTATATTTTTCAGGTTGGAAAGTGAAAGAATTCTGAATGAAATTCTAGTGCCTCCCAAGTAGACCTCCACTCCTCAGATGGGGACCTTTCCTCCTGCTCTATTCTATTCTAGAGAACTCCTTCATCTACCTGAGAGCATGCAAGGAGAAGGGAGACCCTCCCCTGTTCCACAGGCAGTAGCTTTTCCATTGATGGGGGGCATTAATTCAGTATAACTGGCTGTTGCCCAATAAGCCTCACTGAAATGAAAATGTACCAGAGTATCAGCAAGGTGTGGAATTAGGGGAAGCGGACCTGTCTTGAGGCAGACGCTTAGCTCTGGTTTCTTCCTCTCATGTTCTATTGCTTAGTATTGTCTGCATTATTTCTATGCTGGGAAGGTCTCTGTTAAAAAACACATAGGATTTTTGTATTTTGTAGGACTAAAATCTAGTAGAAGCAGCACTGACTAGTACTGTGTATGGCACGAATTTGAGTATCCTACCAATGCTTGCCAAAATGGGAGAATAAAGTTGCTATTGAGAATTCTCATTCTGATTTGACCATTTCATGACCATTTCTCCATAACGCAAACCTCAAAATTTAGGAAACACTGAAGGCTCTGTTGTCCTAAATGGTACACTGTCACATTTGCATTTTCTTCAGACTTCTGAACTACCAACTTGTCTTTCAACACTAGAAAGCACTTTGGTTTCATGTATTTTTATTCCATAGTTTCCATACATTTTTTGGAGAAGACTAAAAGAAAGCTCCACAAGTTACTTATCGTTTTGTCGTTCGGTATTCTGAAAGGGCATAAGAATATAAATCTATGTACCTTTTAGTCCATCTTCTAAACATTCTGCTCTTCAGCTTGACTTCTAATACTGTCAGCAAATATTCAGTATATTTTTTATTTTTTTATTTATTTGATTTATACCCCGCGCATCTGGTCTTCCGACCACTCTGAGACATTAAATGCTCTCTCCTGTTGGGCCAGATACCATCTTTTCCATTGAATGGTATAGTGCATCGATACTAACATGCCATCAAAGCCCCCTTCCTGCAACTCAGATTTCTGAATGGTAAAAACAGGACAGCAAGCCAAGCTCTTGGGGTGCCACAATTATAAAAATAAAACACATGCATTATAATGGAGTCAACATGATTAATCCCTTAACATCTTCTTTTTGATTCCCTGCACATGTTGGTAAAACCAGTGCTCGTATAACACAAATTGTCTAACATGTAATAGTAGATATTTCGGTTAAAAAAAATCCCAAAAATTGTGACAGGAAAGAACATTACAACTACATGTGAATGCACTTGTAAATACCTTGGTTAAAATTTATGCAACATTTTGTACTGCATATATCGCAAGAGCTATTAATGTAATATGCCATTGTTGTAATAGTTTTAAGCAGCTTTCCCCAAGAATTATTGATACAGTTTTCCTTGATTGAGTCTTAATTTGTTCCATATGCCTTGTTCTATTTTTATCCCAATATCCTCTTTCCATATTGTTTTCAATCTATTTGACTTACAGTGGGGTCTTGACTTGAGAACTTAATCCGTATTGGAAGGCGGTTCTCAAGTCAAAAAGTCTGTAAGTCAAGCCGTCTGTAAGTCAAGGGTCCACTGTACTTGTATCTATTTCAATTAAGTGAATATATTTAAGAAATTAAAGCAAAGGATATTTTTGGAATTAATTTATTTTTTGATCTATTCCATATTTTTAGTATGGCACATCTACCTATTTTATATGTCATTTTTTTTGCCTCCAAGTAGAATTTCTTAAATTAATCATAGATGTTTCCTTGCTGTCTCTATTACTACTTGTGACGACTCTGAGATTCCCTCCAAAAATGATACCAATGTTTTTAATTAGTTTGCCTCATAATATTTGTGTGTACTGGGCTCTCTCCAATCCCCTTGATAAGGTAGACCTATATGTCAAATTGTTAAAAGAAAAGGGGATTTACAGAATGAGACTTTCATAAAAATGGAACCCCTTTTGTAGCACAATTAAAAGAAAAACTGCAGTATAAAGATTAATTGGATTATTTTCTATCAACTACATTACTTAATTGCATATCCCACAGTAAAACAAAGTGTGACCAGAAATATAATGAAATTTGAATGCATCCTATTGGAACATATGAATAATGCAGAAGAACCTCTCTTATAGAGCTGAGCTATTCTAATGGCAATATCTGGTTGACCTGTTGCAACCCTAAGCATCTCCTGCTGCTACTGATTAAGCACAACCTAGGAAGAGGACAGGCTGTAGGGAAGACACTTTTTAAAATATTGAGGAGGGGGGTCCAAACTCTATGGTGATTATGGGAAAGTAAGAACAAAATCAGGCATTTCAGAGGACAAGGGAATCTCACGGCACAGGGCTTTGGGTGAAGGACATGTGGGTGTGTGGGATTTTAATTAGCCAACTAAATATCTGTCTAAAAGCCGCTATTATGAATTGCAAGCTACCTAAACCAGCAGAAGCAGAACAGAGTATAAGTTGGAAGAATCTTTTAGGAGTCATTCCTAATATGCTAACATGACAAATGTCTACATATTCTGGTAATATGGCAAATATGAGTTATTAGCTGACCTGATCTTCTTTCAGGAATTTCTCAACATCAGCATACCCTGCTGTGTATTTGTGTTTAATAACAAGCTCACACCACCGATGACGAACCTTTAGCAAGAGAGAAAAGGGGAAAAAAAAAACAAGTGCTCATTGAAACATTGCTGAGAATCAGTAAAATCATTTCAATCTCCACTACAACATTTTACGGTCCTTTAGTTTTGAATGATGCTCTGCCTTCCTCTATCTAAAAAAGAACACCATGTTTCTAAAAAGAATGTTCATCAAAAAGAACATTACAGTTCGCCAGTATCCTCTTGTGTAGCTCTGCTGGTGTGCTGTGGCTGATACCAATACAATGGCTGACTGCTAATTTTCTATTTCAGGGTGCACATACATCGCATGCCATGAGACAAAGTCACATGCACCCAAAATTTATCAATGAGAAGGGCTTCAGGCAATTCCCCAGAAATAATGGATATTCCCTGCAGGCCAAGAGCCCTTCCCACACTACTTTCCTACTTTCTTATTCTATTTGGGTTTGTTTTTTTTTAAACTATCTTTCCACAAGGGTTACTGGAAGAGGGTAAGACAAAACAGTAACAACATAAAAAATCAAGAGTACAATCATATGTAAATATAAAAAAAACATTAAAAGCAGCACAATACAGTGTTCCTCAATCAGATACTTTTAGCCCCAGTCACCGTGGCCAATGCCTAGGGATGATGAGAGCTGCAGCCTTAAATATTTGGAAGAGACCAATGTGGAAAGGTGCAATAAAACAATCAAAAGACCAAGCTGTGATCGGCAAAAGTAATAATGATATATATTGTTCTCTATCACACTCTGTATTTTTATTTACCCTAGTACAGTACCCTGTTCCAAATTCCCTTCCCTATGATCTTTTCTTACCCAATTGAAAATTAATTTAAAAATGCACCTGTGGAAAGGTGCATTAAAAAGATCAAGATATATCTCAAGAACAAAGCCCCCTTATTCATTCTCTCTCATTCATTCACACACACATATTTGTGAGCTGCTTGCCTATGAGGCAATCCTACACTTCACAGCGTCACTTACCTGCAATTTGCAACAGCTCTCTATGCAACATACAGGTGCATCCTCTTGTGGCCTCTGCCCCACCCCCTTATATGCTATATATAGGGTTACCTCATATCTTTGGCTGCAGGCATCCACAGTAGATCCCCTGTGGATACATGGGTCCTACTGTATACATACGTATCTGTACTGACTAACTAAAAGTAATAAAAGAATCCAACTAACTTAAAACTTTTCTGCCAAAACCTCATTGCCTCACAGAAGAAAAGGTTATTTCCCTTGACCTGGATACTGTATTTCTGTCAAAGCATCTTAGTAATGTATTCACTTCTGTTGCTGCTTGCATCATATTGCTGAGTTATGTTCAGCTTATAGTCTACTCAGATCCTTTCCACATGTACTATTCCCAAGCTAGCTGTCACCCATCCTATATGTGATATGTCCTGATTAATACTGAACCTTATATTTTCCCCAGCTGAAACTCTTTTTTCCCCTGTTGGCCCAATTCTCCTACTGCTAAGGTTGTCTTGAATCCTGATTCTATGTTCTAAAGTAGGCTAGATCAAGTGTTATCACCCTTCTCCCAATTAGGTGTCATCCGTAAATTTTATAAGCCTACCTTCCACGCTCTCATCCAAGTAATTTATAAAGGCACTGAACAGCACTGGGTCCGAGACAGAACCCTGAGGGACCCCACTTCTCTCCAAGATGATGAAGAATCATGGTTGAGCACTCTTTGAGTAGAGATGACAATGAGCTGCAAACCCACCTAAAAGAAGCATTACCGAGCCCACAGTTTTTTGCATGACCACAAAGGGCTGAAATAAAACAAAACTGCACCCACAGCATTTCTTTCACCTACCAATTACTAACTTGTGACTTCAACAAAAAGAGACACAAAATTATTCTGGCTTGACTTGTTTTTGAGGAACTTGTACTGGGTCTTGAGAATCACTGGCATTCAAGCAGTCTCACATTATGCCACAGCTCTTTCATGTGTCCTTGCTCTGAAGTGAACAATTTGTAGTCACATACAAAGGCCCCACCATACCTACTGCAGACATTTATACACCAAACTGGAGGGGACTGGTTTTTTTTTTTTTTTAAAGATTTCAGAGATGAGTTTACAGCTGGGCATAGCTGGCTGATGAAACTGATGTTAAGGAGGAAAACTGGGTGTGTTTGTGTCTGTGTAGATCTAACAGAAGAACCAAATATATCAATATTGATCTTGAAAACACTCTTGTCCTTTTGAGACTTCAGGAATGGGTGAATTCAATTCAGATGATTATCATATCTAGTATGGTGGGCAAAAATCCCGTAGAAGGAATGGAGTAGCCCTCATAGTCAACAAAAGAGTGGGAAGAGCTGTACTGGGATACAATCTCAAAAATGATAGAATGATTTCAATACGAATCCAAGGCAGACCTTTCAACATCACAGTAATCCAAGTTTATGCACCAACTACCAATGCTGAGGAGACTGAAATTGACCAACTTTATGAAGACCTACAACACCTTCTAGAACTGACTAATAGAGTTTTGTCAAGAGAACAAGCTGGTCATCACAAACACTCTTTTCCAACAACACAAGAGGTGACTCTATACATGGACATCACCAGATAGGCAATACTGAAATCAGATTGATTATATTCTCTGCGGCCAAAGATGGAGAAGCTCTATACAGTCAGCAAAAACAAGACCTGGAGCTCATTGTGACTCTGATCATCAGCTTCTCACAGCAAAATTCAAGCTTAAACTGAAGAGAGTAGGAAAAACCACTGGGCTACCCAGGTATAATTTAAACCAAATCCCTTATGAATACACAGTGGAAGTGAAGAACAGATTTAAGGAACTCGATTTGGTGGACAGAGTGTCTGAAGAACTTTGGATAGAGGCTTGTAACATTGTACAGGAGGCAGCAACAAAAACCATCCCAAAGAAAAGGAAATGCAAGAAAGCAAAGTGGCTGTCCAACAAGGCCTTAGAAATAGCAGAGGAGAAGGGAAACAAAATGCAAGGGAGACAGTGAAAGCTACAGAAAATTGAATGCAGACTTCCAAAGAATAGCAAGGAGAGACAAGAGGGCCTTCTTAAATGAACAATGCAAAGAAATAGAATAATAGAAAAGAAAAAAATCAGAGATCTATTCAATAATGGGCAATATCAAGAGCATTTGGAGCAGCTAACGTCAAATCTTCCACAGCACATGTGGAGTCGCAGAGACTACACTGACATAGATGCAAAGTCACCTGTTCCTCTCTGTACTAACAAAGGACTATGTCAGTGCAAACACAATTTTCTTAGCTTCACCTTGGTTCTGCCAACTCCAGTCCTTAACCCATTAAATGACTTCTAAGTAACCCAGTTCTCCATGCGATTAGTTCAACTAGTGGCTGTGTTTCACTAATTGTGGCATATTGATGAGGTGCTAGGGTATCAGTCCTACACATGCTCATGCACTTGACTGCACAACTAAAAGAAGACCTAGCAGCTCATTAATTAGCACAATTAGCTGTGGCAATCTGCGGAAACTTTACATGAACACCAGTAGGGTTATGGCTATAGGTTTAAAATAGAGGATTTTTTATAGTGTCTGTACCTGTTTATTCCATCTTCTGTTAGTTTAAATTTGGGTATCTCTGGTTACAATAGTCGGTTGGCTAGTTTCGTGAGTTGGAGTACTTCGCTGTGGAGCCCGGTCTTGAGAGTTCAATTCCCCATCGGAGAAAAGCCAACCTGTGTGGCCCTGGGTTGCACAGCTCCCCAGAAGAGGGTAAAGCACTTCCTAGGAAACCCTGGAAAGAGCTGCCATAATCTGGAATTGTCTTGAAGGCATACTATTATGATTAATCTTATGTATGCCTATCAGAAAGGAAGCCCTACCAAGAACAGTAGCTGCTTTCAAGCAATTTGATTCTGGTTTTACAAATCTGGTTTGGAGGAGACACTCAAATATCATGCAACTCTGGTTCAGTCCAATAAATAAATTATCCCTTAAGAAAAGTAGGTGAAGCAGAGTAAAGGTCCCAATCCCTGAAGTCATGGTTTGGCAGATCTGCAGTTGTAGGTCTGAGTGCAGCAACTACTTGAAAATAACTTCCCCTGAAAGCAGTGAGGTCTTACTTTTGAATGCATTTAGGTTTATTTAATTAGACTGATTTATGTAGACAGAAAATGGCAGTCTTCAAAAAAGGACTAAACATCTTCAAGAACTTATTTTAACAAAACAACAAAATTAACACTGGCCTACAATTGGACCATTACTCCTTAAAGTCATTACTCTGGCTAAAATGCTCTGCAAAGTTTACAGAAGCACACACAGCATCATAAATATAAGAAGAAAGCGGTTTACCTCTAAGGCCGGCAAATATGATTTAAAAGACAAGTAACCCAAAACATGTGTTTTATTAAAAACAAAGGCCATGTCTTTGGTCTTTAGAAAAAAGTCTAGCCTCAGGGGAGAAGGAGTAAACATTGCTAATAGCTGGATTTAATTTGAAAAGCACAGGAAGACAACAGTTCTAAAGAATTCCACACCACAATACAGGAGTAAAGGGAAATGTTTTAAAATAGATTTATTATAAACTGAAATGCTTTTGGTATAAAGAGCTGCATAAGACTGTTCCAACTGTAACATGTCTACCACTAGCCAAATGACATTTTCTTATACTTATCCAGATATATAGGGAGTGTGTAGAAAGTAAACTGAAGGAGCTGGCCTTTGACGGACACAACCCACTGCCACTTCCATGACTGAAGAATACAAAATTTATGGCCAGGAGAATGGAGGTCTGATAACAAACCTGACATGATTCCTGTACCTTGAAAATACTGCAGAAGAAAGGAAGCTTTTCGCATGTAAAGTAGCTGTAAACATTCTATGTTGCTGAATTACGTGATTGCTTTATTGTCTATTGCACAATTATCTTGATAAGAGTAATATTTAGACTAAATTCCCCATAAGCCTTGCAATTTAAACTTGGCCACTGAGACCACAGCCAGAGGACAGAAGCACTGGTTTAGGTATGGTACACAGCTGACACTGCA